ACATGGAACACTCCTGCATTGTCTCGAAATGCTTATATCATTCTGCAGATCTGCGTCAGCAGTACGTCTGTCCATCGGAAACAGAAGACGCTATTCGAAGAGCAGTTTGGATTGAACTCAGCAACGCCCCCCTTCGTCTGCTCAATACCTCTACGGGTCTTTTGTGCGACCGAGCAGCACAGCTGAACTCCTTCAAAACAAGTTCAGAGTACAAGGAGCTTTTGTCATCCATAACGAAGCGTTTGGATCTCCAAATGGAACGCATCAAGGAGGTGGTGGCAATGCACTTCCGTTGCGTTTTGCTATCACATAGGTGGGAAGAGACGGAGGCGCTGCTGAACCACATCCAGGACAAAGTGGTGTACGAGTTGGATGGACTCGGTGGCACTGCGAAACTGCAGTCGTTTTGCAAAGTTGCTCGCGATGCGGGGTATCGCTGGGCGTGGATGGATACATGCTGCATCGATAAGAGCAACAATGTCGAGCTTCAAGAATCGGTCAATTCCATGTTCGTTTGGTACCGCCACTCAGCGCTCACCATCGTCTACCTATCCGATGTCTCTCCTTCATCCCAGTCCGGCGCACTGGCGAGTAGTGTTTGGAACGAACGAGGATGGACCTTTCAAGAATTCGTCGCTCCGAAAGTCGTTATATTTTATCAGAAGGACTGGTCATTATATCTGGATGATCGCTCTCCCAACCACAAAGAGTCCCCAGCAATCATGAGGGAGTTGGAGGGTGCGACGGGAACAGATGCACAGGCCCTGATCTCCTTCCGTCCAGGGATGAGAGACGCTCGAGAGAAGCTGCGATGGGCATCAAAACGTGCCACCACGATGCAGGAAGACATCGCGTACTCGTTGTTTGGTATCTTCGGCGTCCACCTGCCTGTAATCTATGGCGAGAAGAAGCAAAATGCGCTCGGACGGCTCCTGCAGGAAATCGTGGCTAGATCGGGCGACATCACTTCCCTGGACTGGGTTGGACAATCGTCCGAGTTCAATAGTTGTCTTCCAGCCGACATCATATCATATGCGGCCCCGCCATGCTCCCTACCATCATTGTCTGAAGATGAGATTCAGATGGCGGTCTCTTCGTTGCGAAACATTGTGCCTGTGGATTCAGCTTCGAAGTTGTATAACCTGCTCGAGAACATGAATGCTCCGCTCTTCGCAAACTGCAGACTCCGTCTGCCTTGCATCGCATTCCGTGTCACGGAAGTCAAACGAAGGCGGGGTCTCGCTACTCATTCCACGTATGGAGTGAAAGCAGATGGGCTTCAGGACTTGCTGATCACCACGGACGAGTCCCTAATCCAATTCTCGCGCGCAAGGCCCACTCAGCAGACGTTCTTTCTCATCCGTCCATGGGACCGTCGTCTCCTTGGGCTGCCTGACTTTGCAGAGCAGCTCACCTTTTTAAACAAAGGGGAGAGCGTAGGGGGTTGGTCCGAGTCCGAGTCTGGATTAAACAACACTGATGAGCCGTCCAGCGACTCACCTGGAGAAGAGGGATCAGTTGACCCGGAAGCCCACTCACGATCATTGCGTTTGATGGTTCACCTTGGGCAGGCTTTCAGCGCACTTTTGGTAGCGCAGCAACGCGTTGGAGAATACAAGAGGGTCGCGTCGGACCGTAATATCATTGCGCAGGTCAAAGACCTGACTTCGATTGACATCATGAACATCAGGACCCTGGACATATTGTAGTTGTATGGTTTTTTTCATACGGAAATATCGACTTTGACATATTGTATCATCCATATCAATGCGAGCACAGAGGGGAACTTATGTGTACACGAGTATTATATGATACTGTTAGGGTACAAAAGAAAACCAATCAATTTTCGTCTTTCAAAATGGTGGCGAGGGCAGCATTTCCATTGGCAACGCAGAGTTCCCTCCATTCCTCGTTGAGAGCTGAGGGTAGCATGACTGAAAATCATAGCACGGGTGACATCAATACCAGCTGAAAGACTATGACGTACCAGGGATCCAATCAAGGAGGATAGCCTTCGCAGGCTCATCGCTCATGTCCATCATGTATCGATATGATTTGAGTGCTGCTCCAAATTGACCTTCCCGAATGAGTGCGTAGCATCGTTGTTGGTTCGCATTTTGCCACAAGGACCTGAAGCTTGAGGTCCCAGCCGAAAAGCTGCGCAAGCACGCGGTTGAGCATAGATGATTATGACTGTGTCAAGTCATATCAACGTACCGCGATAAAGCCGCCGTACATGGAATGAATGTCTGACTTGGAAAAGAAAGCGCCAGCACTGACACCGGCAGTGAAGTGGTCAACAGCTTCTTTGTAGAGGGTGTTATCCATGGCAATGTTTCCCAGCTGGACTCGCAAATATGCCTGATGTGCGAAGCACAGAAAATTCAGTGAGCATACGAACCTGGGCTTGATCAAGTGTATGATGCTTACTTCTACAACACGAGAAGCAAGAGGATCGGCGTTGGGACGGGCAGCTAGCTCTTGGACGAAGCGCATTGATTCTTCATGGTTATTTGCATTAAACAATGCGATGGCCTGAAAACTTCTCATGAAGCATCGAATATGAGTAAAATATGATCGAGAAAAGCAATTGCATCGTCAATGAATCTCCGTCGGTGGACGTGAATGCGTGGTCGTGAATGCGTGGTCAAATTCTGTCATCGCTTCTCGGATCTGTTGTTTCCCGCAGAGGGCGATGCCCTTAGCTGAATGCTAACAGACTATGTCACGATCAACGTCAAGGGGGACATGATGAAGGGTGCCAGTATACCTTGCTTGCATCATGAAGTGCGCGGTCCCAGTTGAGTCGTCGTGCCATGACGAATGAGCGGTTGGCATAGGAGGTATAGCTGTTAGCATCAACTTCGGTCTCTTGCGTGAGTAATTGTTCGGTGGTAGTCAAGTCTCCCGTGATGCATGCATCATGGATGATCGTGTCGATGGCCGGGATCTGCATGAAGGCAGGGGCATGCTCGACTTATATGTTACATGAGTCAAGATTGAAAGCATGCCTTTAAATCGGAGCATTGAACCTTTGAATCAAAAGACGCGAGATGAGATGATGAAAGGACCAGAGAATCAAAAAGAAGGTACCCTTGCCACCTGTTCTTTGATAGCATCCTTTGGCAAAATATCTTCGGGCACCGCCCACTCTGAGACCCACCCACTGTCCTCTCCACTGAGAATATGCTTCCCATCCATCGAGAAGGTGATGCAGCGCACGGAGTTAGAATGCCTGAATATGATGGTGTTTTCGTCGATCTGACAACGACCAGAGGCGCACTTGATTATCAAGAGACGCGGAAGCAAGGAATGTGCCAGCAGGGTGAATGGCAATGGCATAGATCGACTTAGTATGGCCTGTGCAAGAATCACCGACCTGCTTCCAGGTCGACACATCCCATTCTCATATTGAGTATCGACGAGATTCACGAGAATGAGCATCAAACTTTGTTGTTCCGCGGGGTCACTGCAGGTTCAAATGATGAAGCGACGAGCGAGAGATTGGGCCATGATACCATCAATCAAACACACTCCTGCGTTGCATGCGCATGTAGGTTCTGCCGCCGACAGCCCTACATAGCAATAACAATTCTGCCAAATCGATCAGAATCACATTCATATGTATACGCAGAATATAAAAGCTGGCCGTCGTCCTATAGTGTTCCCCCGTCCTCAGAGATATCATTCGAGATCACCCTCAGAAGATTCCATATCACCTCGCACAGAAAATGCGTTTCTCCTTCCTCGCCGTTGTTGTTGCTTTGACAGCACCTATGTTTGTTAGCGCATGTTCGGATGCGGGCCAATCTTGCGACACAGATGTTGATTGTTGCAAGAAATTGGTTTGTGACACTAAATATGGGGTGAGTATGAGCAGGTCACTGTGCAACCAGGATTCAACCGCATGACTCACCTGCGCGCCTTAGGATCCTGATTTGACCTGCCAGTCCTCGAAGCGGGTTAAAAGAGCCAGCAGCTAGTAATACTACTCGGGCCTCGGGGTCAGTTGTGGGCAAAACTGTAGGCTATGTGTGGACTTTGTGACTATAGATCATCGTGTGCTTACGGAAAGTCTAGGGTACATACTAGTACTATGGGTTACGCCATATTCGTTACTTCGTGAGTAACCCTCGTGTCACGAATAGTAACGGACAGTCACACTGGCCGAGTTTACAGTCCGCTCGGGAAGTTCGAAACTGTATACCTCCACGATATGTACACCCTATTTTGCCTTCAATTTGTATTTTCCAGGATGTTGCCTCGGAACCAGAGGCGATCATTTCTAAGGTGCACTGATGATTTGTGGTTAAGAATGAAGTTGCACAACACTGATCACCTCATGTGGCAAGACACAATTTGCGATGGATGTGATAGTCGAGTGTCTGAACTGCGTGAGGGCGTTGAATGCATTCCCACTCATCATGCAGCACCGAACTCTAGTGTTTATGAACAGCTTGAGCCTGGCAGGATAAACAGACCATAGATGAATGAAAGTAAGTAGCCATTCGTTCTGTTTTCGGAATAGGTACTGAAAGCGTTTTGTGTAAAGCAGACAATCAGATCGAGATTGAAACGCTGGGCCAAGGCATGAATCACACAGAGGATTCGATGGTGGTACTGAATCGTAAGAACGAACTGCGATATATGCAACTTCTACAAAAAGATCATTTGTGCGTGTTTGAAAAGTCAAAACCCATGTGCACCACTCCCCACGGTTGATGCCAGATGAGATAACAGTCACAAGGAGGTCCAACTCAAAAAGACGATAAGACAGGCCATCCGGATCCAGGATATTCGATGTCACTCTGACAAACTTGGATGGCGATCGATTCAGATCAAACATTGCAGGCGTGGTCAACATCAGATGTTATTGAAGGGTTGAAGAATCTGAAGCTTGAATTACTATCAATGTGAAGAATGGGCGGGACGAACGTACCGTCGGGGCCCGGACATACCAACCATCATGTGGCCTTAAGCTTCTCTCTCATGCTAGATCAGTCATAAGATAAACGTCAACGCGCACTGGGCATTATCACCCACCTGACGAAACCCACCCACCATCGCTTGTAACCCCAAAACCACAGAAATCCATGTCATCACTCAAAGTAAGGGAAGGCGAAGCCGATTTTAACGTTCCTGGTGCAGGCAAGCCTTGCAAAACTTGGTACAAGGTGTATGGTACTCTTCCCCACCCACATAACACACCACTTGTAGTACTTCACGGCGGTCCTGGTTCAACCCACGAATACCTCGACATCCTCTCCGAGCTCACACGTCTCTTCGACGTACCCGTTATACTTTATGATCAACTCGGCAATGGACGCTCCACACATCTCCCAGAGAAGAACGGAGACGTGGACTTCTGGACTGTGCAGCTCTTCGTTGACGAGATGCACAACCTCCTGAACCACTTAAACATCCATGACAACTATAACGTACTTGGGCAGAGCTGGGGAGGGATGCTGGCATCAGAGTTTGCAACGCGCCAACCGAAAGGCCTCGGGAAGCTGGTGATCGCTGATTCGCCAGCGAGTATGGCGCTGTGGGTTAAGGCCGCAAATGAGTTGAGGAAGGAGTTGCCGCAGGATGTCCAGGATGCGTTGAATAAGCACGAGGCGGCGGATACAACAACAGATCCGGAGTATATTGCCGCAACGAACGAATTTTACAAGCGGCATTTGTGTAGGCTCGACCCAATGCCTCAGTCCCTGGTGGACGGGCTTGCATGGATGGAAAAGGATCCAACTGTGTACTCGACCATGTAAGTGTTTCGTCCCAATCTGTGTCACGCATCTTCAATCTTCGGGGAACAGGAATGGACCGAATGAATTTTACATCACTGGCTCTCTAAGGACGTGGAACGTGATTGACCGGCTGCACAATATTCAGGCGACGACATTGCTCATCAATGGGAGGTACGATGAAGCACAGGATATAGTTGTAGAGCCCTTCTTTCAGCATATTCCGAAGGTCCGATGGATACAATTTGCGGACTCAGCGCATGTCCCGCAGCTGGAAGAGACGGAAAGGTTTATGCAGGTGGTGTGGGCCTTCTTGCGTGGTTGAAGCGGCTGGAAGTATAGAAGCAGCGTAAAAGAAATGATGATGGGATGCACAGCGTATGGTACAAGTCGATCATGAGTGCAAACTGTAATATTATCCAAACTGCAAATCGATTGCATCAGTTCAGTGTTTGATCTGTCGAGCGCTCACCTTGCCCGCGGATCTCGACTCGATGAACGTATTTTTTCGCATGACACGTGTATCTAGAGGCTGGTACAGAGTCTGCAGAGTCCAGACCATATCATATATATAAACGAGTCTTGTGAATAGTCGTGAGTCTAATTAAAAATGCATGAAGACTCAAGTACTCATCACGTGATACATGTACACGAAACTCATGATCTTTCCTTCCGCACTCCATTTACTCCCTCGTATAAAGACCGCTTCGGTGATCCGAGTAGATGTAACACACGACAGGCCTTCACACGCACCAAATGTATCAACGTGAGTGGAGAACTATGATACGAGTATATTAGTTACCTGCAATTGTTGGTGTGTATGTACGAGTGGGAAACTACCAGTAGTCTAGCATGCTTCAACACTGGGCAGAGGATCGATGCATAATCATGCAACACTCCGAGTCATCTTCTTAGGAAACGACCATGGAGGGAAGCAGATAAGAACGGTATAATCATCCAGCAACCCCCAACCGCTTCAACATCTTATTCACCGCGTCAGGCGACGCATGCACCATATCTGACAATGTCAAGTGAAAAGATGCACACTAGATCACCGTTTTCAACTTCAACCAGCGGGGACGTACAACCCTGTAAGATGAATTGGTCTTCGCGTCAACTCGTGTCCTTTTGGCCTCACCACACCGATTAGGAGGGCAGGCAGATTCCACAAAACGAAAACATTGAATGTATAAAACATGGGAAGGAAGTAATAACGACCAGAGTTGGAGATACGTGAGCAGTGGCAATACGACGTCAGCAACGAGACTTGTATGTCCCGAGGAAAAGAGTTTGGCCTAAGCCTCCTTCGGTACAAATGGCGGCGGAGGGACCGCGTAGTCCAAGTGACCGACAATGGGAAGGTTGCGACCATGCCGGATTCGGCGTTTTACCCAGCACTGAAATACTTCATCACTATCGAAGTAATATTCCGGCGTGTCCATCGCGCTCCCGCTGAACCGGAGGCGAAGGCTCAGCTTGGACGACCATTTACACGTGAACGTAGAGAGGGTGACAGTGGTGGGGACGTACGCAGCCCAGAGGTCATCGGTAGAGGGGATGTAGACTTTGATGACCATCATACCATTCTCGGGTGTCCAGCGCGACTCTTTTGGGCTCCTGGAAAATGGCTGGATCTCGAGAAGGTCTCTGTGCTCTGTCAGTGTTCCAGAGATGATCTGATAGGAAGCTGCTCGGGAGCGACGGTGTTTACCGTGGAAGTGAACGACAGCAGAGGGTACTAGGCATGGGCAAACAGGTGCTGATTTCACAAGGATCGTGTCCAACTGTAAAATAGTTCCTAGTGCGTGGTCATGGTTTTTGCTCGCCTTGCTTGCACAAGTAAACTCGAAGTGCTGGAGTCGAGTGCTATCTTCGATGAACTCTAGAAGAATACTGGAAGCCTGGTTCTCAGTCTCGTCTTCGCTCTCCTTTCTGTATTTCGGAGAATCTTCGTGAGCCACCTGGAAGGCAGGTAGCCGACAAACAGGAGCAGAGAGCGCGTCGGTGTACTTGGCAATATCGACGACATGAACACTGTAACGGCGAGCACCCCGAGGAGAAAGCGATGATCGAGAAGGTGAGGCGCGTGGCCAATATCCATTGGGCAGTTCCAAAAAATCACCCTCGCGAACAGAAGCACCAACAGACGTGATCTTGAAGTTGTAAGTTTTGTTAACGAGCGCGATACTGTTGTCGGAAAGATCCTCGAATGCAATCCTCGGAATGGTCGGTATTGAGAGAATATGAGAATTGTGTTCAGGGTCCAAAAAGTCAGACCCGTAAAATGGCACCATTTCGGGGGTATGCTGGAACTCTCCAATTCCACTTTGAAAGGCAGGATTCGACTTGCTGTGTTCCATTGAAGGCGTAGACTGAGTGAATGTAGTGAGCCACAATTTCAGCAACTCATAAAAGTTGATATACCGCATAAAGATGCTGCACGCTAGATTCCATTAACATTGTGTGGGTTGTGTCGCTGCAAATATTCGAAAACTCCACCCTGGGATGACATGCGACGGGGGACACTTCGACTGAGGAATGAAGTTGATGGGGAGTATGATTTTCGAAATAACAAGGGTCCAAAGCAGCATTGGTAGAAGACACGAGATATGGTGCGGAGATGTCCGTTGCGGGCCGTCCAGCAGTGAGTCTGGCTGGAGCATCAGAATTGTCGACAGCAGGGAGAAGATCACGAAGACCAGACCTCGACATTCGGGCTTTATTCTTTGAGCGGTAAAGGAATCCAATGGCAGAGAACGCAACTACAGAGAAACAGAAGGAGCCACCTTTGAAGTAAACATCTTGTGGGATCTCAGAACCCGGTAGCCCATCTGGGAGGTAGAATGATGCAAGAGTAGATGAAGGAGCGACTGAGGTGAGATGAGCGGAATGTATGTTGCGAACATTCCTGATGGCAGGAGCCATGAGAAGAGAGAAGAAAGGTCACAAATCGTTTGAGAACTGGGAGGGCTCAAGGACAGTGGCTGACATCAAAGCAATCGCATGAGGCTGACAGCTACTCACTGGACATCATTTGTTGCAAGAACCGAGAGTAATTGACAGTGTGCGCGAGGCATGACTCGGAAGGCTTCATGTATACGTCATTGACTCGGAAGGTGATGGCTGTTTCGAAACGCTAGCGGTTGTCAGACATTGCTCCAAGATGCGAAGAAAACAAATCTGCAACACTGCACTGATCCGTAGAACATTACAATGTAAGTACGAGTTCAGCGGTATCGTTCTTGACATGAATGTGGCTGACAGTGTTCATGAAACTGGGTTTTAACTTTTGGGCCTTTGGCGGAGAATCGCGTGCACGTGACAAGCCACGAGTAGAGTTCGGATCTGCTCTTCATCAGTACCAGGCTCCAGCATTAAGCAATTAAGCAATGGCAGCATCAACGGCGCCGACATCTCAAACGCATCCAGCATCGCTACCGCCATCAGTGTTTACTCTTCCCCAAACAGCGCAACTCGAGGCCTTGTACACTATCATCCGCGATAGAACCACAAGTCGAGGAGATTTCTTGTTTTACTCTGACCGGATCATTCGTTTACTTGTTGAAGAAAGTTTAAATCATCTACCTGTGGTCCCAAAGATAGTGCAGACTCCCACGGTATGTCCATTCTTTTTGGATCGCATGGGTTGAGGAAGAAACTGCATCATCTTCCCCCCTATATTGACGTGTTTCTGCTGAAGGGCGCCACGTACCAAGGTGTTGGCTTCGAGGGAAAGATTTGTGGAGTATCAATCCTGCGTGCTGGCGAGGTCTGTTGGTCATCATCGTACGAATAGCACATGACCTGATGGTTAGTAATGCTGAACGTAACAGGCCATGGAAGCTGGTCTTCGAGAAGTATGCCGTAGCGTGCGCATTGGGAAGATTCTGATTCAACGAGTATGATCATGTATCTGCATCATCTGGTCATAAATAACGGCTTTGCAACCAGGATGAGGAGACTGCTCTTCCGAAGCTCTTTTATTCTAAGGTAGACAATGTGCGCTGCGACGAGCATTGCGTTGACTGCTTTGGAACTGCAGCTTCCTGAAGACATCGCATCCCGATACGTACTTCTCCTTGATCCGATGCTAGGTATGCCATATTTTCTTCCGACCCACATATTTTTGATCAACGCTTTAAAGCCACTGGAGGTTCCGCTATGAAGGCAGTTGAGGTTTTGCAGGAACAAGGCGTTCCAGAAGAGCGAATCATATTCATTAACTTGGTTTGTTTTACTACGAGTTCCATCCGAAAGCAAACATTTTATCGCCGTCTAGATTGCGGCACCAGAAGGTTTGAAGAGATTCTGTGGTAGATTCCCATCTTTGCGCGTGGTGAGTAGACATTTGCCAATAATATTTGATCAACTTAGTATATCGTCCAGATCACCGGATGGATTGATCAGTGCCTCAACGAAAAATCCTACATTATTCCAGGTCTGGGTGACTTTGGGGAGCGAAGGTGCGTTCGCTGTGCATGTTAGTCTCATCATCACCTACCATGGATATAGATATTGTGAATGAAGAATCGTACGAGTAGCGTCAATCATGGTACTTTCAGACGACTTTCATGAAACATTGAAGTCCTTTGATCCTTCATGTTTTTCGTCGGTTAACCGCGTGCTTCCTGGCCGAGTATCTTGTTTAGTGTGCTGAATGGTTGAGGTTGTAGGACAGTGATATTGTTAGGCCAGCAATCTATCTACGTACAACAAGTCGTTGATAAATGAACATGTACGTTCGCTGACCAAAATCTACGCTAGTCATCCATCGTGTAAGAGGAGTGCCTGCATACCTCAGTTGGACAAACAAAAGATTACCCAAGGAGTGATGGTATTGACTTGCTCGATGCAGAGGCAACTGCTACTTCCTCGTTCTCTTTACCAGCCTTCTTTCTATGTCTCGCGCTGTCCGGTACCATCAATTTGATCGCATGTGCTTTCGGTGCCGGTCGCCAGAACAATGGCGGGATTTGACGAGGAGTGTCGATTGAAGAAAGATGCCTTCCGTATGCAAGTGGTGTCATTACGTTGGAAGTCATGGGAGACCCGAAGAGTCCAATTGTGCGAGCAGGTGTTTGAGGTGTAGGTATTGCCCGCATGTGATTGAAGAGAGCGGGCGCGTTCTGGATGGATAGAGGAGTATGTTGAATGCCACGACAAAATAGCGATGTGGTCTGAGGCGAAGATTGCGGGAATGCTGACCACGGTATAGACACTCCGTAAGGGGCTGTGGGGCTGGGCGTAGTGGGATCAGGTCTCAGACATGTAGATTGATTCATGTGAGTGCTGCGTGGCGGGGTGCGGGGTAAAACTACAACATCCTCTTCTTTTTGCCCACTTTCTACCGGATTTGCTTGAGTGTTGTTCTCCGACTTCTATATCGACATCAGCGATATCGCCTGTAATCACTGAAGGCAATACTGACCTGGCTACTGATCGCGTGGTCGACCCACTCCTCTATCATTACGACTATACCTTGCAACTCCTTCAATGAGTCAGCAAGACTGGCGATGCCCCTCGAGACGATATGACCGTCGATGCCAAGAGAAATGAGGAAGACGCCCGCCCGTGTGAGCAATGTGGTGATCGCTTTCAGGACATGACTATATGCAGTGACTAGTTTGTTGTTATCCAATAAAGAGGGTGGTTTCATATTAGCTGTGGGTTGTATAGTTCGTGTGTAATCGTAAATGTGGTTGATACCAATCGCGGGCTAGAGCTTATTTACTTATATTGACGCGACAGATCACGTGCATTGATTTTGCTGCGATGGAACCTATACTTGTAATATCATGAACGAATAATAAGATTAAATGAATCAAACCGAGGGGAGACAAACCCATGAACATATGAGCCTCGGATGCCATGGCTTAAAGTTTTGCAAAGCGGATAGTCATTGATAAAGCCCTTACCAACTCGAGCTCAGAAACTTGAACTTTCTTCTAGGCAGTGTCCATATTACAGAATTTCACATGCAGACACTCACTTCTATGTACTAACCTCAGCAATGAACATCTGTCGTGTACCGCAAGACAAATGTCAAGTAACATATAAATGATAAGACACACTTACTGCGCAATCCTGTGAGAAAAATAAAAATAAAACTGGCAACCGCAATATGTCTATAATTCATCCAACAGTGCGAAGCAATTGTTGTGAAGAAGATCTCGAGTCTCCGGCAAGGTAACCAGTAGGACATGAAGACTGATCTACACAGCAGTTTGCGCCTGTTTCGGGTGCACAGACACCCAGTCAAGACAACACAGAGTTACACAAGCCTTGCAGCACATCAGAACTGACTTACAAGTCATCTAAATAGTTATTCTCAGGAATCTGGATGGAAATACCACATTATCACGGATATTCAAAAATTTGTGCTCACTATAAATTCTGGGCACATTGACACATGTCATGCGATAAGACACGATTCTCACAGCACATCAGCAATCAGTAAGAGTATGACCGTCTATCCAATTGCTGTGTTTAGGCTGTGAACACACACTTTGAAGACATTATTTGCTTACTAGAAATTTTCGGGCGTGCCAATGAACAACAAAATTCGCAAGGCAAAGGCAGTGTAAGCCAATATTGGGACTGCAATATTCTGTGAGACCTGCAGTTCAAGGAAGAATGGCAAGCTGCAGAAATACAAGAATCAGTGTACTCATTTACTGATAAACTACCAAAGGTGAGCTATCATGATGTAGAAGGGGGGGAGAAGATGTCCGGACCGTGCGAGCTGCTTGGGTTTGGAACTCCGCTAGGACTACATACTTGACCGCCGGTAATATTAATGATAGGCTTGTGACCAAGTCCGCTTTGCACCTTCCCCTGCTCTTTGAAGATGAGGAAATCATCTATTCTGAATGCTGTTCTTCAGCGCTCGAATCTATTGCAATCCTTAATTATCTTCGTTCATGTTCCAAATTTGGGAGACTAAGCCGAAATAACATATTATGGTCTTGATTTGACGCAGTCGACCTGTTTTCGCACCTTCAGGACCCTGACGTCTGACACTAAATAGGTCAGCACAGAGCGAAAAAGCCGATGCTCAGCAGACCTCGAGCGCTCAAAGAGTGAGGTAAGGGCCTGAAACCTCATTGTCATTGTAGATGTCAGGTGAAGGATAACACTAACTTGATTCTGCCACAGACTGTTGCCGTCTCAAGATTGTTCATTCCTGTCATCGCTTGTGACGTAAAGCACTGTCGATAGCTCCTCAAATGCAATTTATTCAAATCATGGGTTTTTCATTCCGTATCACGATGGGTGTTCGGCTACATTGGTTCTGTCAATGGTGTTTAGTCTGGGAAATCACGCTGTTCTCTGGAACTCCTATAGGACCTCTGCAACAATGACATTTTCACACTGTGGGTACAAAGTCAAGAATGGGGCCTGGTTGCACTCCATACGTGAGACTAGGATACTTAAGCTTCATCAAACCCCACAATAAATGCTCTCCCCCATCCGCACAATCGACCTTGGTGTTCCTCGCGGGCGTCGTCTGACCTTGAGACCCTCGGATACTTGACTTTGAAGTGGTAAAGTGTCTCCGACTTCGATTCCCGCGTTATCACTCATCCAGTCGGCAAGATTATCGACTATCACAAACGTTTTAAACTTCGAATATCGAAGTGGGATGACACTTCACGCATCTTTTCTTGGTTCCTATTCCAGTCGGTAATGGTGCATCGCCCTCTTCCATATCTACTAGGCGAACGGTTAAACGAGCTATCGCATATCTTTCCGCATTTCCTTCATCAGATACACGGTTCGGCTGATGTTCCAACAGATGTTGATAGCGCCCTTGTATGCATTTTAGGCACAAGCGATGTTCGTCTTAGGGGCATGCCCCGCCTCAAATTACAAAACTGGCTTAGCAAGGCACTCGTGAAATTTGTGAGCACGTGAGTTTACCATCGATCTTGTCGGATTGATGAACACCCAGTAGCCTCATACAGGTATCCGCATACGCCGGGATGCCCGCAAGGTTTACCTTTCATTTTTCCGAAGGACTACAGGAGCGTTCCATTGTTCCATTTCTGTGTTCCGCTTCCGAAAGAATTCCCGAAGGTATGGAAGCAGTTCGCATGGGTAATATTGGTTCAAACAAGCTTGAGCAAACACAATGAGAATACATTCAGTATGTAATACGCATTCTTGTAGATCATAGAGCTCTAATGAGACGCGTACTGATTGACTTGTCATGTCCCCGTACTGATGATCGTATCAATCAGCGATTCTGTTCAGCCACGAAGCTTGTCGTGCTCTCTCCGTAAACAATTATAGATGTTGTGTAGGGACGATCTACTTTGATCTGTGGCCCACGAGACTCCACGATGATCATACATCATGCGTGCAGTCTGGCATGCATGACTTCGTAATTGGTAAGATTGTCACAAGCCTGGGGGCTACTTGAAACTTACCATTTCCGCAGCACAGGTGACTTGTCTTATCTAGACTGGGCTCACTTTCTGAGATGGCAGTTGATGGTTGGTTGATTGAGAGGATGGCTTAATAGCGCAACTCATTTCCCACTCTTTCCAGCTCATCAAAATCTTCTTTTGAGACCTAACAAGCTTGAACAGTTCTTGTGCGAACAAATATATTGTATTTGTGTCTGATTGTGTGAGATCTGGAATGTTGTTACATAGCACCTTGTGAAAATTTTCACTTGCATAATACCTATCCCAAACTTAAGTGCGGATACTAAGTGCTCTAACCAAAATTGAATAAGTACTTGTGGATCTTATATCCGGGGTTCATCTGCAGTTACATCCAGTTCCCTCTTCCTCCCACATCGAATTATGTCCGCCGTTCCAGAACTCCCTGTTCGTCGTCGTCGCCACTCTGGATCGACTACAGCACCAGCACCAGTCCGTGCTAGTCTACTCAATGCACGACGAGATGATGAAACTATGATTGTGCCCCCACCACGACCAAAATCTACTCCCGTTGATGAACGGCCTCAGCGACGACGCGGGTCCGGTTCAGCCGAGTCTGATTCGGAAGGCTCCGATAAGGAGACATCCACCATGCAGGTTGATAACGATTCGCCTAGTCAACAAACCCAACAATCTTCATCATCTCCATCACACTCTCAAGAATCTCAAAAACGTGAATCTATCACGCTCAATTTAGAAAATTCTAGCCCAGAGCGTCCCACTCGTCCTCTACCTGCTAAATCCCGGAAAATGGCTGGAAATTCATCCAATCCTATGCCACAACCTGCAAACCCATCCATGCTGCCAATTCAGGCGCACGTACCCCGTGGCGGTGTTACATCGACTCAGAGAAGGTTGTTTGTCATCCTAGAGCAAGCTTGCTTGGAGGCATACAGGGTTTCAAGTGGAGGAAAAGGCAAAGGCGGCAGGGAGGGCGATGTCAAGTACACTCTTCTCAACTGTGACGATCATCAGGGCATCCTCGCAAAAACTGGCAGAGATATCGCGGATGCCCGTCCCGATATTACTCATCAGGTGCGTGGTATCGAAAAAGATATGCGATTCTTTTATACTAAGTTTTTTTTTCTCCTCTTCAGTGCCTGTTGACGCTTTTGGATTCGCCTCTAAACAAGGCGGGTCTGCTGCAGGTGTACATCCACACTACAAAAGGGGTGCTCATCGAGGTTAATCCTCATGTAAGGATTCCTCGTACCTTCAAACGATTCAGCGGGTTAATGGGTAAGTTACGGTTGTTGGTCTTGTTTTCATCACTCATTTTTTTTCTTCAAGTTCAACTTCTTCACAAGTTGTCTATTCGCGGTGTCAATGGCCCAGAGAAGCTGCTCAAGGTAATCAAGGTATGTTCTGAATTCTCTTCGACCTGCAATCATCGTCTGACCTTGTGTTGCAGAACCCCGTGTCTGACCACCTTCCTGTTAACACCATTAAACTCAGTCAGTCAACTCATACTTCGCGTAGATGCTCTCTTATCCCTGATCCCATATTTAGCCCTTTCCGGTGATGCTCCCACTGTCAGACTCTCCCGTTACCTTCCGACTCTTCCGGAAACGCACTCAATTGCTGTCTTTGTGGGCGCAATGGCTCGGGGCCGCGATGACTTTGCCGATCATGTTGTAGACCACAAGATCAGTATCAGTGATTATCCTCTATCCGCGTCCGTTGCTTGCGGCAAAGTGAGTCCTTGCGCCAATACCTTGAACTGGATTCTCATTTCTTGGCAGTTATGTTGTGGTCTAGAAGAGCTCTGGGACATCGTCTGATGTCCTCATCTGCTATACTAAAATCTGAAAAATTATCGATCTGTTGTATCATATTGGCTTTCAGGTTTAGAAAGCATTTCGCTCTTTTCATTTTTTCGCATACTACCTTCTATTGCATTCCTCACACACAAGTAGCATTTCAACCTGCGTTGCTCCGTAAATTTATCCGCTGAGCCGCATCGTGTACTACTAGTAGATGGATTACCCAAGCCCCCTCGCATTAGAACACGACTCAACTCGTGTTTCTGGGCTCTGGAAATAATGATGCGATTCTTGCTAGATTTATGGTATTCTGCCTTTTGTTCCTTGTATGTCATTAAAGCCGTGGAATGTGTAATTGGAACACAGATACCAAATAGTGGAGGCTGTTGCTGTACTGTGATCCTGATTTTTAACTTTCAACGCCTGCACTTAAGCTTCACCCTTGACAATGTCCACACTTGAACAAGCCAGTGCCAGTCCGATGCCAAACGGCATAACTGATCCTAACTTCCGTCCACTGCCAGGGCGGGTTGGAAACCTCACCGTCCCGCAACAACATGCCCTTCAGACCTTGAAGAATCAGCTCCACGATGAAGGCCATTTCGTTGAGGAGAGAATGGACGATCCGATGCTGCTACGGTATGTTCCACTCCTCGATCTGGGAGTCTGTAGATGCACTCTGTGTCGCAGACCCACTGTTCATGTCCGATTGGTCGTACGAGGCGTGTGTACTGACCCAGTCTGCAGATATCTGCGGGCACGCAAATTTGATGTCCCAAAGGCAAAAGCGATGTTACTAGCTGCTGAGCAGTGGAGACAGGATATGAAGGTAGACGACATCGTGCAGTTCGTCGCTTGCCTTTACCTCGTGTGCCGATTCGTCTGATCTCGCCCGCAGGAGCTTTGTCTTCACCGAGAAAGAGCAAGTCGATCAATACTATCCTCAATACTACCATAAAATGGACAAGGTAGCCGTCACAATCCTTCAGATCCGTTCTTTCGCTAAGCGCTGTCTTGCAGGATGGCAGACCGGTCTACATCGAGCGGCTCGGCAAGCTCAATGTCCCAGCACTTTACGGCATCACTACAAAGGAACGGTTGCTCCAGCGTCTCATCCTCGAGTACGAGAGGTTTCTCACAGATCGTCTCCCGGCATGCTCTGCAGCTGTTGGTCACCCCGTCGAGACGGTCTGCACCATCCTTGATCTGAAAGGCGTTTCCCTCTCTTCCTTTTACCAAGTCAGAGACTACGTAAACGAGGCTTCAAAGATCGGACAGGACCGATATCCGGAATGCATGGGCAAATTTTACATCATCAATGCGCCGTGGGGCTTCTCTACCGTGTGGTCGTTGATCAAACCTTGGCTGGATGAAGTGACTGTATCGAAGATAGAGATTCTTGGGAGTTCATACCAACAGAAGTTATTACAGGAAATCCGTGCAGAGGATCTTCCTGCAGATCTGGGTGGCAAGTGCAGATGTGCAGGCGGGTGCTCGCTGAGCGACGCAGGACCATGGAACCCGAATGAGAAGACAGGGAATGGTGTTGCTTAGAGATAGATATCCTACGAGCGAGCTGGTGGGCATGCTCTGGCGGTAGTCATCTACGTATACAACGTACTTAATGGATTGTCGTTTTAGCATTCAATGAGTCTCATTCATTTGACAGTAGACAAAAAGTCAGGGGTAAGTACATAGACATTAGGGCTGGCGAGGCAAATATCAGTCGGCGTACGTGACCGCTGGAGAGATGTATTAACGGGCTTATGGGGCGAAAGATGAAGGAGGTTACGGAGCGACCATTACTATTTTACAGAAGTCTGTCCCTTCAACTGGGGAGCCGACTTTGTGCCTAAAGAAAATTCAATGAGTAGGGCACGACTGGATGGAATGTCTTTTTACTTGTGTTTGATGTGCTGCTTGACACCGTCCAATATGAAACACCGTTGTGAGCGATTGCAGTGTATGCAGCGATAATCATTATTCGGGGGTTGGGGTTTAGTCGGGAGTCGGAATTTAGTCGAGGGCCGGGGCAGCTGAGGGGAAATGAAGAACTTCATTCCTGGTGGCGGCTCGACAGGGGCCATGTCATAACTAAAGTCGACTCCTTGTTTCGGAACGGTGGTTCCATGCCTACCAGGTGTCAGTAAAGTGAGTGTAACAGAAGAAGTGATGGTATACCATCGTATATGATCAATGACAGTAGCCTTGTTAACTGGTTTTCCGTTATGCCTATCGCACTGGTTACAGTACCACACTGGATCAGTAGCTTTAGGATATTCGGGAGCACGTGAGCCTCGGATCACTTGAAGTTGCGCAGCACTCAAGAGCTCCCAGCGAGGTTCTCTGTGCGATTGCTCGACGCAATGGATGACCTAGAATGCAACATAATTGAGCAAGTTGTCAAAAGACAAACACAGGAACGAACACTCCGACGCCAGTCCATCGCCATCCGGTAAGATCCCCCGTTTTCTTGCTTGGGTGGACAGTTGGAGCAAAAAAAGAGATGCTGGAGTTGATCCATGGTAGTTGCAGCCGTAGTTTTGACATCAAGGCCAACTAAACGTAACAAAGAGCGAGCGGCAAGAATACCAGATTGAGAGATCGAAAATGTGCAAGCTACTTTCATCGTCGACCATGCGCGATATGTGTGGCATTTATGATACTGAACTTTATCCCATGTGATCAGAGGCAGAGAGCGTGAGGCAGCGCATTGGAAAATGGAAGTGGCTAATTGCAGTATGATTTCTTCGGGGGTGTTGATACCCTGATTTTGTAGCGCCAGGGTATCTTGCGATATACCGGAAAAAGAGCCAAGACTTTGGATCAGTGCCAGCTTCGTTTGATGGACATACCCAGTGCAAAATTCGGGGAATTTGTCGGCAAAAGCATGACAAGCACTGATATCGCTTTCTGGTTTCATAGCAGGCGGACCGTTGATAAAGTCCCCGACATCACAGCGCTCCAAAAAGAATTCAAAAGGGGGTGCGGGTCCCCTTTGCAACTGCCGCACGTAGTTGTCAAACATATCTTCCAGATGCCCCTTTCGGGAACACGATGCATTCCTTTGATCCTGGAGAACGCCACTGTTCCTTCAATTCAGAAAGATTGCGCTCGATTCTTGGGAGTAAACGTTTCCACCCTGTAAACTGATGCAATAAGGGGATAATTCATTGCAATGATGGTAGAAGCACTGACGTGCATCGGTAAGTTCCTTATCGATGGCATAATCACGATTATGTAACATGCGCGCCACATCGTTGGTATCGTGGCCCAGGCGAGTTAATCTAGTTTTAATCCTGGGAGGATATCAAAACGTGATGAGATGACGAGGCAATGAAATATACTCACAACTCTTTATTTTGCTTGCGAAGCTCAGTGACCGTCAATTGACGATGTTCGCGGTCCCTATTGACCCAAGCATCGCAGACCGTAACATGCTTCGAGGGTGTCAGATCTAAGAAAACCATTTGCAGAAATCTTACATTGAAAACAGAATGAACATATCTCTTGCGAGATTGCTTGAAGTCTTCCAGCCTTTTCTTGGCACCTGGCTTGAACATGTGCACATCCTTCTGATACATCCCCAACTGAGCTGCTACTTTCAGTATGTCGTCCGACCAAAAAAACTTGCTGCCACTGGCATGACCATGAGCCCATCCACCGACTACTCAGGATGATCAGATACCAACAAGTCATAGTAGAAGTGTACCCACTGTTAGTGAACGGTGTTAAATCCATGATGATCGGATCGAGGCTCGGAAATGTTGATGAAAAGTTGGGCTTATAGACCAGGCTTGACGAATCGTTGGGTACATGTGGGCATAGTCATAAAGTAATGCTCACTTTTTCTTGAGGCACGAGGTACATGCTCTGCGTCTGATACCGAAGTCTACCCTCATAATTCCCTTGGTGCCACACACCTAAGGTGGTTGTCATGAAAGTGCAAAATGTGAAAACGGAAAGTATACATACATAACACTGAGAACCACCAAATAACAGGTTGGCCCATTCGACCTCAGACATGCCAGGCATGCAGTTGGGAACACCGCCACGCTTGACGCGGGCAGCTTTCCAGACTGAGACTGCATTATTAGATAAGAGAACCTTCCGGAAAGCTTTGGTCGTGCGTGACAGATGCAAAAGGTCTGTCGGTTCCAAAAGGCCAAAAATCTGATGGAGAGTGCAGGTTAGACAACACGTGAGGTTCATACTCATCAACTGACCTCGAAAAGAATGTCAATCGGCATAGTGACGATGAGACTAAGGGTTTTCTTCTTTCTGCCAGAGCCATTTGTTGCTAGTACCACACCGGTGTTGAGTGCTTTCAAGTTAGCTACCCTAGCGCGCTTTTTTGCGGGTTGTTTTTCTGAAGTAAAAGTCAGCATTGAATATCAAGCTACGCTTGAAATTGCATTTACTATGATGTGTCTTTCCGCCATATTCACTACCGCTTGATTCACTGAATGTCTCCTCCAGGCTGCTATACCCGCTACTACCGGCACTGTCTTCTGACTCTTCCAGGTCCGTTAAAGGGGACTCGTAGCCACCGGCCATGTCATGATCGCCGTCTAGAGACGTCGAGTCGTTGTCCGAGTCAAAGATGGGCGTTAAGGGGACATAGACACTACGCAAACCCATGACGTGGTGAACTGGCACTGTAGACTGGGAGTCTGTAGAGCAGCGTAAAGCGAAACTGAAAGATTTATATATCAATATTTTATTAATATTGATCCGAATTTAAACTTCAGACGTTCAACCACTGATCGATCCGATCCCGAAGGTGACGAGATAGATCACAAAGGTCTACCATATCAAACAAACAAGTACAATATAATATAGTGTAAGTGGAGACTGACGATAGCGTGTGCCAGCACATCAAAGTTGGTGATGGATGCTCACAGTCCTTTGCATGAATTTTAGACAGACCAATGCAAAAATGTAACGTACGGCAATACATTAATGCCTGTACTACGATATATAAGGTTTGGTCTGGACTCTGCTCGGCTCAAGCTTAGTTACTCGCCTAAAGGATCGGACCCACTCAGACCCACTTTGTCAATAATCCCCGGGACCAAGGTGCGTAAACAAAATAAAATGATCAACTTTCTTTGTCCAGCCTGAGGAGGAAAAGATTAAACAGCTGTAGTCGTATTAATAAGAATGGCGCCGAAAGAAAAGTAAATCCGCATACAGCGACAAAGAACAGATTCAAATTGTTCCAGCAGGAAGTACAGTACAGATAATATAAATAGTTCGTTGTCGTGACGCTCGTCCGTTATATCTACACAACCTCGACAGGGCTAGCCTCCTCCATCCTGACCCATAGCCCGTTCTATGCATGATGTGAGCCACTAGATAAATAACCAAAGTTGAGGGCTTACATGTGCATAGATGGTAAGGTGGCTTTTCATGATGACTTTTTCGATGGCTTTGCGGCCAGAACACTCCGCCCACTCTGCAGGCGGAAGAGTCTGGGCGTCAGTGGCAAAGGAGACTGAGGAGAACTGCTGGAGAAGTCGGATGAGGAAGAAAGAAGTCTCGTTATAGGCGAACTAGAGAAACATGGATATCAGCGTGAATACTGTGTGAGAGCGGGCAGCAGACCTGTTGCCCGAGACAAATCCTGGGACCTGCATTGAAAGGCACGAAGATGAATGGGTTAGGGGTACAATATTTCCGGAGACGATCGTCAAGGAACCGATCTGGGTCGAATTCTTGAGCTGGTGGAGAAGAATGTAAGTAAACATTCATTCCAACGAAACAGTCAATCTATTGTCGTGCTCACCATCTGGTCCCCACAAATCTGTTCGTCGGTGCATCAAGAATACAGAGTAAGGTATCCTGATACATCCATCATCAGTTGGACAAACAAATCCGTTTCTTGATGTAATCACCTAGTATTTGGAGGGATGTAAATCGGTTTCCCCCCATCAATTCCCGGCCAGACCGCTGGTTCTGTACTGGTCCTGATCCATAATGAGCACAAAGACATGCGCATGGGCAGAGTAGCGTTTACCTGATATTGAATGGCCTAATAAAATTAGAGAGATTCGATGAGATCAAGTACAAAAAATTCAAGGGAGTGGACCTAATACTCACACAGGCGGGTAGAGTCGAAGCGTTTCTGAAATTCCGGTGTCACCTCAAGAGAAAGTGGCTTTTGAGTACGACTGACCATTAATAACTGCTCTCATGTATTTCATATCGCGCATATCATCATAGGTCGGTCTCCTTGAGCTACCCACCTTGCTAAGGATCTCCTCGCGAAGACGACGGAGAACATCGGGATGCTGTGTGAGCATGTAGATGACAAAAGTCAAGGTAGCTGCAGTCTGGAAAGAGCAGTCTTAGCATCCTGAGAAAGACCGTCCGAAAGAAGTGCATACAGTGTCACGTCCAGCAATCATGATGTTAAGAATTTCGTCCCTGATGACGATGGGGTCTAGAAGGAAACAAATTCATGTCATTTGGGATGACGCGTCAACGCTCGTGCTGCATACCTTCTGTGTAATTCACCAAGTGATCAAGCAGCGTCTCGCCTTCTTCGACATCCCTATCATTTGCATCGGTCTTCTCGTCCATGTTCTCCTTGAGCATTTTGTTCTTTTCTAATGCTTCCTTGAGTATCGGGTCGATGAACTTGTAACAAACATCCATGTGCTTCTTGACACGATCAGTCCAGAATTCAGCCAGGCGCCACGCTGAGCCAAACCGGCCGCGATAGGCAGTAGCATTCTGAGCCTCACTGAATGCATGCGCAAACTTGTTGGCTGGGTGATTCTCAAACGCGACGTCTTTAGAACGTGGCGACGACGATGGGTAGATCAGGCCAGCGGAGAGAGAACAGACATCTTGTCCAAAGAGAAACTCGGTCGCAGAATCTAAGGTGAAACGAGAGACCATGTCCTAAAGCAACGTCAGCAGGAATAGGTATAGAATAGTCATCATAGGTTTACCTGGAAATCCACGGGGTAGCCATCTCTGAGTCTAATCTTCAGCTGGCTGATCGCGTCTTCCGCGTGCTTGTCAAATATATCGAAATGACTGACCCGGTCTTTGCTGAAGAACGGGCGTGTCATCGAGCGGTGGAATCTGTAGTCACTAGATTAAGCCTGTCGAACAATGAACGGAAATAGATAAGGCATACTTCCAGACATCCCCTGAAATAGATAGTAAACTATATTGTCACGGTGAAATACTGGAAACACACTCACCATCGGAATTGAACACTCCGGTGCCAAGGAGGGAGTTGACTTGGTCCGAAAACATAGGCCCTGTTAGTAGAAGATGTTATTCCATCAAATCGGGACAATACTCCGCACATGAAATCGCCGACCTTTCGCAAATGATGTGAACTTCGTTGCTAGAATTGCCTGTTACGCTTGAATGTCTGGAATTATAACATTCCGATGAGCTGCTTACCTTTATGTATTCTGGTTCGGCGGTGAAGATCTGTTGATCGCAACATATCAACAATGAAACTGAGGATGTGAAAGAATGTACATGCCCTGTTTTCAAAGAGGACTCGCACGTTGAAAGTATGCCCAAGAGTGTTACACTGCTTTTCCATTAATTCCCCTACGATCGTGAGTATTGATAGAGGAAAATGAAGTGAGTTGTTGAGTAGCATACCCATGTATCCAATCTTGAAATTTTGTACCATGGCTGCGAGGAGATCCAGACTTCCAGGCCATCTACTTGGATACATGGGTGGAAGGACAGCCCCATGCATGGCAGCCTGGCGCCTATCATGATAATTTGCTGCGAGCACACTGCAAGTAAACAGAGCAGGAAAAGATAACACATATGCAGGAATCTGCGACCATCCTTGCAAGGATATGCCAAATGTAAAATCGCAGATGCGGTTGAGACCATAAACTATCGTTGGGGGCAATAGGAGCTGTGGTAGGCAACTGATGAGGTAGACGATCCCAGGTGGTAAATCCATTGTTAGATTGTGTGCGTTTGATCTGAAAGGTGTAGCCGACTTTATAGTAAGAGCTGGCGGAATCACATGTACTGTTTTTGTATGTGGTTCCGGGACAAGAAAATTGAATTGGGCTCATTGTCACACTGCCGACTACTGGCCGCCGCTAAGTTGCATGTGTGAGGAGCTTACAAATTTCGCTCCGAAGGATGTCACCCGCCGGCACCATCAATCGTTTCAGACTCCGCGATATCCTGATGATACACGGAAGAATAATCTATTATATCACATTACTCTGTGCAGGAAATAATTTTTAGAGGTGCGCATAGTATGTTGGTGTTCGGTCATCGGATACATACATAAAATTAATCACCCGGACATGAAACCGCCGAAGCGGGCTGAAGTCCACATGTCTGGTTGTTGGTAGTACCTTCTAACAATTGATCGCTGATTCCCGAAAACGCTGCGGCGCAATATGTCACGCAGAGCTGCTTGCACTTGGGAAGGCTGCGAATTACTATGAGTCGGCGGCGATTGTGTTCAATATGCTGTCTACTGCTGTCATCATTAGGAATTGGGGCCACCTGTGGCGAAGGATACAACAATATTAATACCACTATTAACGTACCGGAGGAAAGAATACGTACAATTATCGTTGATGTTATCAAACTTTTGTCAGCGGCGCATCTGTTTGGTCGTGCAGATACTCGATGATTGCACTGCTCTAATATGATCTGCCCTGCAAGGTTGCCATTTCTACTTGATGTGATACATCAGATGACTTCCCGTAGGACTACCGTGAGTTACCCAAGCATTCTGTACAGGAAACCAAACCCTAAGTCAACGAAATATCATGATGATATCATATATCAGTATCAACCACTGCAAAATGGGATAGAGATGGAAGTCATTGACGAAGAGTGTGAACAACAGAATCAATAAACGTGCAGATGTCTGCGATCCCGCGATGTGTTGCCACGTAGTATATTTCAGTTATGAGTATAGATCTTCAACGAAATATAGTATCACAGAGAGAAAAGACCCAAATCAACCAATCACCTTGTACTCCTCGAAAGCGTCTCTGTATATGCCAGGAGTCCGAGGGCTGTCGGCCGTCGTCATTCTGGACCCTCATGGCAATGCGAAGGGCTATGACATGGTTACTGTACAACGGCATGGTACAGATGCAGAAGGTAGGGTTGGAAACATTCTTGATAGAACTTTCGCATTCAAGTTGGACGCTAGTTGTCCGTCGGGTGTTGATGACAAAACATCGAAGGCACCGCTGTCAGCCTGTCCCTTGGTGAGCGCTAGCGTCAGGCTCAGAGATTCGGCTCGCATCAAAAAGCGTCCAAGCCAGTGCCTATATATCATGCGAAAGTGCACAAGGGATTCGTGAAGTGCGGGAGCGGTAGTAAGTGGCACTGGACAAATGCCGCGGTAAGATTATGTCAGCGAATATGAGTGTCCTAAAAAGGCAAAGTTTGACCCGTTGGAATAATTTGTAAGGAGATTTAACGTTTGTTTTCAAGTTACGGTCACCCGGCATTGCGGCACACCTCCCTAAAGTATCACCTCACGGGAAGTCATCCATAGTACAGAGTTGCAGGACTGAACCTGACTGAGCGGCCAGGCACGAGGCACGTCCCCCTTTTCATTTTAGTAATTTTACTTTCGAACGTAGCGGCGTCGGCTAGCACATGAAGAGTGCTTGGGGTGCGGCTGCACGACCAGAGTCGCTGCGGTCCATATCCTTACTTTCAAATTTGCAGCAATTCTTATCGACAAATAATGGCATGTCGGTCCTGGGATTGAGGTATCTTTCTCACATTTGGTACGACATGCTCCTAAATATTGTCAACCCTGACGTGTAAACCATTCGGTAGTAGGGTAGTTCATAGCAGGAGTGTAATTGATGGTAGGAGTGTAATCCACAGTAGGGTGAAATACGATAGCGGGAGTATTAATGGGGGCACTCGGGTGAATGTTTTCCCGATGTTCGGCCCTTTGTGTGTTTTCCTGACGTTCGACCCTTTGTGTCGCATTGATGGTATACGATCGTATGCCCTCAACGATTCTATCCTGATCCACGCAGTCCAGGATGGTCAATTGCCTATCACAAGCCTGAATCCAAGTACGAGCCTCTGTTCTCATTGGGGAGGTGAGGTAGGAAGAGACTGCGAGCTTGATGGCCCTACGGGTGATTTCCCGGCCTCCCGACACGAAATAAAGTGTCTGTGACACAAGCGTCAAGTGGACTATGTAGGACATGAAGTGCTGAATCACTGGCACGCGGCTGAAGAAGTGTCGATGTCCTTTGGTAGGTTCAACTTCGACCATTTTTATTATCGATTCCCTGAACTTTTGGCTGTTCAAGTGCTATGCACAAATCACGTTAGGGCGGAAGCAAAGATGACAAATAAGATAGCCATTACATGATGAAGGTCGTAGAAGTTCCACACATTGACGATGTCAGTATGAAGCACATGTAGAAAATCCCACATCTTGCGCTTCTTGAATATTGTGCAACAACATGAGAACGTCTTCCGGTATCCTGCAAGACAAGAATATTCAGATCGTATTCAGCAATTATCAACGCGAAAGTGGGACAGACTTTTCTTGGCAATCCTGACACTACGTAAATCACGAGATAAGAATGAATCAAGTAAGACTCACTCGAATGATGCCTTTATTTTGAGTCCAGGATCCACTCGTTGAGCGACTCGGATGGAGGTCACCACTGTAGCCTTGGATGCAAAATGCTGACTGACACAGTTTTCAGTTATCTGAATCAGGTGGGCGAGTGTCTTCTTATAGTCTTCGTTGGCTGGAACATTGCACTTCAGACGCACGCATGAACTTGATGAAGTATTGATACACACTAGAGATCGCAGCGTGGGGAATTTTGGACCCTGCAAATTTCTCTAGAGGTCTGATGCAGATATCCTGCAGCTCGGCTTCTGCGTTCTTCTTTGCGAGTTCCTTGATGGCTTCATTGCTCAATCCTTTGAGGGAAGTTTTATCTAGAGTTTGCTGTATCTGATTGACGAGCCTATCGTATTTAGTAAGAACGACAATGACGGGAACTTTGGAAAAGTGTGAGCTCCAACGTAGGAGAGAGATAGTTATCGATTCCCTCACCGTTTCTCAGTATTCCACTATGTTTCAATGTCAGAAATTCCTTCGTTCTCGTGTCTAGCAAACGTCCGCCTGTACGGGGTGTCTGAAGGCAGAGCCTTCCGTGTATTTGGTCAATCCACCAGAACGGAATGGTCGAGATAGAATCCCTACCAAACAGCATGCAGCTGATGTTCCGGAGACATGTTCCTCCGACGGTCAATAAAATCTCGAATTGTTTCAAGGTTGTCTCTGAGTCCAAAACCTTTGCTACCGTGGAGAACAAACTTGTCGTTTTGAGGTGAGATGAACTCATGATCAATGCTGGCCCCAGGCAAATTGATCTATTGACCGTATGAGTAGCTGTGCTCGTTGAAGCGTCGCATTCAACCCACCATTTCTTCCACTCCAAATATGTGGCTGATTAGCGATGACTTGCCGACGCCAGTCTATTAAAAGCACGGCGTCAACACTGGCCTGAGATCGGAAAACGCCCGATACCTTTCCTATCACTAGAATTCGGAACCTTGGGAGTGTCAACCTCAAGAATGACACTTGATTATCATCCTGACTCACCGAGGAATAGTTGTTGGATTCCTGGAAAAGTAGATGACGATTTTGATTTTGTTATGATGTGTGGTATATTCTAGGCATGTGAGGTTGAGTTCGTAAGTGATCAAGGTAAGAATACGATGATTCTTGTCTCACCGTGTCCTTTGCTTGCACTATACACGCGGAACATCTCTTCTGGGTTGAAAAGAAAATCTTCGGTCTTCGTATTAAACCATGGCTTGTCAAGGCAATCCATATGTAAGGAAAATTTATCCCCGTGAGAAAGCACCCTAGAGCGAAAATACAGTAGTAACTCAGGTGAGAATATGTGTTAGAGTCGAGTGCTTACACGGGAGGAGAAAATGTCCGTCGCAAACTCTTTCTTCCTTTGCGTTCAATTGGCACATGTGAGTCGCCGATCCATACTTTAGCAGACTCTATATCCAGTTTCGACTTCCTGGAATCGACGGCGATACCTATTGGATATATTCAGCGGAGTTGATGATACTACTTAATGACATACCAGATATGTTGAGAGGACAAGGGACTGTTGAGGCATGCAAAGTGTTAGCCATGCTGATTTGATTTAGGGAAACTGAGCCACTATATAGAGGTTGAGTACAAACAGCGGCCAAGTGTCAGCGCTTCAGCGCTCTTCAGCTGTGGTACCCTCGTGATGCACCCAGTGGATATTGAATGGAAACCTAATTTGTTTGAGGCCCAATGACCATTGCCCACTGAATCTAGGCGCTGGCTTCGGGGTTGGGTATCAACGCCGGGTTGCAATGATTGCGAATCATAGCGGCAGATAGAAGCCTGCGATTGGAATAGTGAAACATCGGTTCCGAAATTGAAGGCATGTGCTTCATCGTACATTGCACCGGGCGCCTTGAGATGACGCCCGCTAGTAAGATACAAATAGTGAACAAAATACATACTGTGATACACCCCAAAGTAACGCCCAATAATGCGCTCACTACTTCCATGTATCTTCCTCTACTTCATTAGAGCGATCCAAGCTGCACCTACAACTAGAGTATGGTTGATGAACAAATTAGAACGCAGACTGATGCAAAGGTAAATTACATAAATCCTGCATTTGAACACGTGTGCAGTCACATCATCGCGATTAGCGCTCACATCATATACACATTTAGTTTGCCCGGAGTCTCGTTACCATTCTGAAATACTTTGGCTCCCAAATCTTGGGAAGAGTAAGGCACGTAGAGGGCCTCACGTATCTTGTTTGCGTGAACGTCGGAACGCTCGAGAGATAAGGCCAGTCTATTCTCACTCTACCCGAGTCGTTGCACTAACTTCGCTCGCCAGTAAAATAAAAATAGTGAACAGGATGCATACAATACGCCCATCTAATCATACGCTTACTACATCTCTGCGTCCTCTTCGTTGGAGTGACCCAAGCCGCACCTACAACAAACATAACAAATACTACCACTAGCGACAGTCTTAAAGCACCATCATTCACGACAAGAACCCTATGGAGCATCATTTCTAGCTCAGTTCTCACTCAGTTTGCATGCATATACAGTGTCATCCACCCTAATATTCCGAGTCCTAAGGACAGTCCTAATTGTATTCTGCTGCGGCGACTTGGCATGATCATAATGGCACTGATCGCTCTCCAATGCGCTTCATGATCATTTTTTAACTCGATTCCTGTAGCAGACCATCTCAGGATAAAAGCGTCCATCAGAAGTTAGAACGTGCTGGACTCTTTATCGCTCCTGAACTGATCACTAAAGGTGTATGCATCTGTGCTGGTGTTTGTTTGGTGTTTCCCTGGTGCTCTTGGGAGGTCCATCAAAAGATCCGTTGAGGCATATTTCTCAGAGCAATCTGAAGGTAAGCCGGATTCGTGCTCGCCTAAACGTCGACTCATATGCATTCTTAGATTATATATGGACTCAAACGCACAGCTTCTTTGTGTTCATGGGTGGTTTCATGCTCTGTGTGGACGGGAAATCCTACCTTGCACTACGACCTGATGACATTCTCAAACTGATGCGTGAAGGGTGTATCGACTTCCCTACCCTAACGGCAAGGCAGATCCACGACAAAAGCAAAGGGAATGCGATATCAAAAGGATTGGTCATGCTTCAAGTGGCCTGGTCTGTTATGCAGCTCATCACTCGTCCCATTTATCGCCTCGAAACCACACAATTCGAGGCCAGAGAATCGCACTGAGTATGTATGCACCTGAGCAATTATGCCGCTACTGATTATGTCTGTTTTAGTCTCGGTAAGAGACACGAACATATCCTATCTCTAGTCCTCGGCCCAATCATAGAACTGTTAGGCTTGTTTGACGTCCCCACATCCCTAATACTCCGAGTTCCAACATTTGATGGCAGCATCAAACTCGGACATTCGGAAAAAATGGTCATTAAACTTGCGGCATTGAGTGTGGCAACCATATTCTGTGGCATTCATTGTATAGCTTGGTTTTTTACCTTCGTCACACATCAGGAACAGCTCTTATGGCGCATATGGGCCCTCGGTATACTGGCACACCCTGGCTTTTCCTTTGTGTGACTGCCCCATTCGATCCACTTTTCTTTTGTAATCCAGGTACCCTGGTGCATATAGATCTCCTGACTGGACTTTTATTGTACATTACAGCTCGTGCCATCTTGTTGGTACTCATGTTCACCACTTTACGACATCTTCCTGGTGACGCATGCCAGGCGGTGTCATGGATTGGTTTGGTGCCGCACTTGTAGTTCCTGATTACGGTACTTGTATGATAAGCACAAATGATAAATATAGCGGGCTGTACATGGCGTGATGGAAAATTGAACTGTCACCAAAGTTCCACCACAGATGCTCCTGAATGAACAAGCACCAGTGAATCTGCACTGAAAACTTATACATAACTACACATATAGGAGACAATGACCCCACGCCTGGTCAAATAATCGAGGGATCAGAACTTAATTCTCGTTCACTGCGGTATATACGCCGACACACTTCGCCAGTAGCTATGTATATGCGTTTAGCTCAGCACCATAGCAAATATGATATGTACTCACGCGCAACGCTCGAGTAAGGCCAGGCCGGTCGTGGACGTGTACACATGAGGTAATCCCGCAGAAGTCTCATTGAAGATCATCTCTGTGAGGCCTCGTTGCCAGATGTTCCAGGGAGGTGTGATGTCTCCTGGGGTGTATCTGTGGTCAGGAGTCTCGAACATGACCATAGCCATGAAGGAATTCGAAAAGGAAGTGATGAACTGAGAATTGTTGTATAAAGGACCGTCGATGAATTGAGGGCCACTCCTGAAACAGAATGCATCAGAGTGGGCAGTGACCCTTCACACCGGCTTACGTATATGAAGTGAAGTACTCTCCAATATCATCTCCATGCAGGCCAGGTGGAATTGCAAACTCGCCCTGCTTTTGTTAGGCACACGTAATCGAGATTTACCTTGAGCTTACCTTCCACGCTCGTCCTCTGAAAGCTTCGAGCATATAATAAGTAGGGCAGAGGAACATTGCTAAATCCACTCATGAAATCAGGAGCAAGGGCGATTTCTTCAAAGGACATACGCACATTCGCCTATCGCAAGATTTGCCTGATTGACATTGCTTCCCATGTTTTGGTACAACGACGCTGCTCCAGCGATCTGAGCAGGACCAAAGTCCGGGTAAATCGTCCCGATAAAATCTGCAATATCCATTGTCATTGACTGATCCACAAGGACGTTCCCCTCATGCGTATTCGTTACGGAAAGAAGGTGGTTCTAAAAGGAGGGTAAGAGTGTCGCTCTGAGATAGCTTCTTTCATCCAACTTACACCATTCAGGCGGCCCTTGCTGAGTGTTAGGGTGGGTCTTTCCACGATAAAAGTCCCATCCACAACGGGTATGAATGCGATCATGCCATAGAATCCGTCGAGGTTGATGTCAGTGTTCAAGGTTTGCAGCGTATTTACGTCTACAGCGCGCAGGCAAGAAAGGGTATCTGAACTTGAGCCACAGCTGTGAGTTGAGTGTATTAGCTGGGTAATGGCCAAACATTGTTTGTGAAAGGACTCGCTTTGTTCCGTTCACGACCATACTGTACAGTATCTGGTAGTGGTATTCAGGTCACCACAGATGTTGATCTCATGGAAAAAATCACCTCCGGAATAGGATCATTATAATTGTATTGCGACGGAAGAAACGTAGAGCTCGTCATAGCAGCCCTGAAGAGGGGAGGGTGTGTGTTGCCCCCGTGAGCAACAATATGCTGTATCACAGAACCGGCGCCTGAAAAATGTATGGGAAACGAGACTAATCGTGATGAGAGTACTTGTCACGGCTCACCAGCAGACTGTCCCCAAATCGTAACCTTGGTAGGGTCGCCGCCAAATTGGCTGATCTATCTCAGGTAAGTTTCCTATCAGCTGAAATACAAAACATGTAAGTAGAAATCTTTACTTACGTATGCTTGCACCCACTGCAAAGCGTAATTTTGGTCAACTTGAGATTGAGGTTCAGCTTAAGTCTGAAATACTGTCAAAACTTATGAACACGTACGTAGTCCAGCGTTGAGCGCACCCCCTTCTTTGACCGCTTCTCCAGAAAGAAAACCTAGTGAATAGTGGGTACATTCGAAGACCACAAAGAGTCGCAAAAACGTACCGAACAAACCGAGGCGGTACTGGATGATGACACTGATGACACCATAGTCTGATTCTGTGATTAGCTCTGCACCATCGTATAAACTCTCAGCTCCTAAAACATAGCTATAACGATGTCAATTTTACTAACATGGGATCATTTCACACGCTACTTACCCCCCTCCGTGAATAAACACGACTACTGGGAGCCTACCCGACGGAGTGGTCGCAATTGTACTCCCTGGGGTGTATACGCTACCGGATGTGGCCAAATCTTAAGTTTCAGTGATCGTTCTAAGATAGGGCTTACCTTAAGAATAAGCAATCTTCCGATTGACTGACATCCCTCTTGCTTAAAGAGATGTTTTCGAAAGGATTCGTCGATGCATTACCCAGGGGTCCTTGATAACATTGATTTGGTTGCGTGGTAGCTTGTTGAACGCCTGAGACAGTCGGTGGAGGCTGCGGAGCTGCCCATCTCAAGTTGTCTGTGTGTTTAGTGTAAGTTGACATCGTACACGCTACACAAAACTGAACGCACCAAGGGGAGGAGCTGCGTATCGAATCCCAAGGAAACTGGTGGTATTTGTAGTTGTGTCCACCGAACCCTGATATTGAGCATAACCCAAGTCAACGATGGGCGCATTCGCGGTGGCCAATGCTGCCAACGCAAGGAAAGTCTGCGAAACGGCCAGTAAGTTAATTTTGATCGACATTCTTTTCAATACCATAGATCGCAGAGTGAAACGCTACACCGACCAACGTGACGGGATCGCGGGACATTATATACCTCGCGCATGAGGGAGTCTGAGACGACCTTACCTACTCTTTGTGACAGGTTGATCACAGGACATGATGACCCTCTGGGCTCTACTGACTGGCAGTTGAACAGTTGAAGACGTGCGTTACGTAGAGCTTGACAAAAGAACGGATACCGACAGTTAAAGATGTATGCCTTGCGCGAGGGGGCTGAGACAACCTTACCTACTCTATGACAGGTTGAGCACAGCACATGATGACCCTCTGGGTCACAGTTGAACAGTCGAAGACGTGCGTTACGTAGAGTTTGATGAAGGAACAGATACCGACAGTGTTCCTAGTTTCACAATGAAGACTATTTTGACATGAGTATTGAGCGTATGCCTCACTCAAGAGGAGAGGTTCCACCTGATATTATTCCAACGCCGTTCACGGCACATGGTGCTTTCGCGAGGAGAAATAGAGTCGTCGACAGCTTGTAGATAGTACACTTGAACGACCCGGCAGTGTATTCTCGTAAAGAATAAAAATGCAGCTTGTCAAATGAACTTTAGCGGTTGCATTTAGAGTGACACGGTGACAGTGAATCCACATCGCCGAAATTGCAGTTCCCAGCCATACAATTTTGACGAAGTAGATGCTAGTAGGTGCCCGTTTACAGTGAGGACTTGCAGCCGCAGAATCACGGTAAACAACAGGGTCACTGATTCTTCCATAGTCTTTTTACGATGGGGTAACCAGCTAGGAGAATGACAGAATTGTCAATTATCGGCGATGCTCAGGTAAAGAGGCTTATGAGTCGTGAGAAGCTGTAGTGGTTTCATCCGCAGGGCTGCTTCAACAGGTGGTGTGTCAAAGGAACAAGTACTGTGACTGAACAGTGAGGAGGCCATCCTGATTCCTGGGCCTGGCGGACATTGCGGAAACTCGCTTAGTAAAGCTTCAAATGATGGTGGGCCTGGGCCTGAGTACCTGTTACGTAATGAGCTATGTTGCGCTACATGGTGACAGTGCGGCAAGGCCATAGACATTCAAGAAAATGTGTCGTAAAACTATTGAAAAGAGTAAAAGTAAACTGTAACATCCAGGTTTAACTTATGTGAGGGCGTCTCTAGTCGTAAAATATCAAAAGCAATGTCATTCTAGTACAGCGGAGACACGATTCCTTTTCACTGCCTCTTTGATCACGTTTAGAAGCACTCTGTAGTAGAATTGAATGAGATCGGGAGGTAGTAATGTGTCGAGAAATACGCACTGCGATGGACGATACCAGGACCGGACTCGTCGTACTCCTGCTTTGAACACCACAGGTTCTGGAAAGTGGACAGTGAAGCCAAGATGGATCCACCGATCCAGACAGAGTATTTCCGCTCGGGGGGAGCGACGATCTTGACCTAAAACGATGATGAATGAGATTATGTCTCATATCCTGAAGTCTGGTACTAACCTTCATGCTTGACGGCGAGAGCGAGGTCAATTCCTTCTGCATACGATCGGCGATGCCAGGGAACATGGTAGTACCACCCGACAAGACGACGTTACCATACAAGTCACGACGGACATCAAGATCGCACTTGAAGATCGAGTTGTACCTAGAGAGGGAAAAAATCAGACAACGTTCCTGGTAATTCATATATTTGCTTACGTCGTTTCATGGATACCCGCAGCTTCCAGACCAAGGAATGAAGGCTGGAATAGAGCTTCGGGTGCACGGAATCTTTCACGATTATATGAGATGTGATGGCCAATGATCGACAAGGGATCATCTTACCGCTCGTTACCGATCGTGATGACGTGCCCATCAGGAAGTTCGTAGCTTTTCTCGAGGGCTGATGATTGTGCGGCAGTTTGCATCTCCTGCTCAAAGTCAAGGGCGACGTAGCACAGCTTCTCCTTGATATCGCGGACGATTTCACGTTCGGCGGTCGTCGTGAAAGAGTAACCACGCTCGGTTAGGTTCTTGATGAGACAGTCAGTGAGATCACGACCAGCAAGATCGAGACGGAGAATGGCGTGTGGAAGAGAGAATCCTTCGTAAATAGGCACAGTGTGGGTGACACCATCACCAGAGTCCATGACAATACCGGTGGTACGACCGGAAGCGTACAGTGACAAGACAGCCTGAATTGAGACATAGAATGCAGGTGCATTGAATGTCTCGAACATGATTTGGGTCATTTTTTCACGATTAGCTTTAGGGTTGAGGGGAGCCTCGGTGAGCAAGACAGGGTGCTCCTCCGGGGCTACACGAAGCTCATTGTAGAAAGTGTGATGCCAGATCTTCTCCATGTCATCCCAGTTCGTGACGATGCCGTGCTCGATGGGGTACTTGAGCGTTAAGATACCACGCTTGGATTGAGCCTCATCGCTGTGTAGATGTAAGCTCACAGCGCCTACGACTGAGGCAAAGCATACCCGACGTAAGAGTCTTTCTGTCCCATACCAACCATGACACCCTGGTGGCGCGGACGACCGACGATAGAGCTGTACAATTTCTGTGAATACCCCGCGCATAAGGGTTGTATAAAATGTGAAAACGTACGGAAAGACGGCACGAGGAGCATCATCACCTGCAGAAGGCAGTCAGTTGTGTATCCTTACAACACCATGAATCGTGTTGAATCACCAGCGACTGCGAGAAGGCTTGTCAGACAGCGAAACAGATTAGATCGAGGATAACTTACAGCCAGCTTTGCACATGCCGGAACCATTATCAATAACCTGACAAGTTTGATGATAAGCTTGCTAGACGGTGAGAACGACGGCTATGGAATTGGACTTACGAGGGCAGCTACTTCTTCTTCCATGGTAAATTATTTGTTGTTTAAGGGTGGTCTTGATGGTTGTTGGAGATCAAGCTTGCGTTGCGGATGTTATTTGAATAGTTCTGTTACAGAAAGCGCAGTCGCGCAGCCGCAAAACTTCGCAGGGCTATGCAACGTGATGGCTATCATGATGGTCACATTTAGTGCCGTCGTTGCTAAGTTCAAGCCTGCACCGCAGTAAAATTATACTGCGTGTCCACGGGTGTCAGTGACCACGAGGATCGAATCATGATACGCTAAGTCAAGTGTGAAATCTTTCGCGAAGTTGATGAAATTGTCAGCCTCTTATTCCCATAATATGCTGAGATCGGAGATGTCACTGGGACCAAGTTGAGCCGAGTCTTTGACCGACTTTCGACACTATCTATCATGGCACCTTCCAACTTCAATGGCACCAACACAGCTAGCTTCCCAGTTGCATCTACATCCAGTCCTTCCCGCGTGGCCCAGGTCAATCAAGGCTCATTTCCTATCGCAAACATCGTCATTCTCGCAATCTGTATAATTGGCATGAGTGCCCTTGTAATCTGCGTGTTTCTCCGGCACCGCTCATCAACCAGGATCAAGCAAAGCTCATCGAATGTCAATAAAGACGAGCCAAGGCCGTTCAACAGACTGTGGTCTCGTGCACTCTCGTTGTTCTCAAAGTTGCATGATCTTTGGCGTTCGAAAACCAAGTCAGCCACCAAGTACAAGCAGGGCGAGATGACCACTGTCAGCGCGTTGCATGCGACATGCACGTTCGTTGCTGCTGCACCATCAAAAGTTCTGGCCCCTCCTGTCGTGATGCAGTTCAGAGTACCGGACACAGAGAAGTTTGTTGTGCTATGTTCGGTCTGCTGCCCCTTGTCGGTGCACCATGCATGTGGCGATCCAAAGACGTGGGTGAGTGCGATCGATTCTTACAACACAACCACAATTCACACGATTCAGGTGCAGAGTCCTTTCGGCGACATTCCACATCTAGCCCAAGAGCAGCTTCCCGTGAATAATCAAGCATCAAGTATTCCCGAGTGTCAGCCGTATGGCGTCGATCTCCTGCCTTCCGATCAGAATCACTCGTCTACCATCGAGCTACCCAACCTTTCTGTTGCAGACCAGCCCCGATCACCTTTTGCTCCACCAGGAGGGCCAAAGAGAACGCTTGCTCGAGAAGATCTCCCAGTTTTATTTGTAAAGACACCCCCAAAATAACATGTTAGCAAGCAGTTGTACGCGCATTGCGATTTCATTCCTTTGCACATATATCATCAAAGAATTATGAGAGGATTCAAACCTATCGGCCCCAACGTCGTAGACTGTCGGCAAGTTTACACCTTAGGACATTTTCTACCGTGAGTAACAATAAGATGTCTGTACACTACGTGTGCTGTTGTCTTTTCCTCTTCTCTTGGAAATGGAAATAGCGTTCGAATGCCTCGACGACATCGTACGAAGGTCTAGCACGACTTTCTCCAGCGTCAGCCCTTGACATCCGTTGAATATCGTTGCATAAGTAGGTCGCAGGAGAAACTGTTTTGGGACCAGCTTCAAAACGTTAACGCGCTAATCTGATTGAAAGAGAAGGTAGTGGGTAATGTATTTCTTCGGTATGAACTTCCACGAATCTACGATGAAGACGGACACGTGCATGCTGAATGTGATGGTATAGTTAGGAGAGAAATGTCATAACCGTGGCAGAGCTCAGAAGACACAGATTAGAAGAGGTAGCACAATTGCAAAAGAAGGGGTAGAGACGGAGATGAGCAAAGAACACACGTAAATAGGACGTGCTCACTGATCATGTGCACACTATCTGGTGAGCGCTTGAGATATTCGGAGAACATGTGGAGCTCAGGTGGACGCGAATTGTTTCTAAGGTTTGACATACGTACACTACTGATGCATTTCCGCCTTGACCTGTATTGAAGCACATGATTTAGCCAGAAGTAGCAAGGTCAGATTTGCCGTCAGAACGGTGGACTGTGGTACCGAGCAAGACGCCATGATAAAAGAGATACAGGACTATGGTACCGAGCAAGACACCATGATCAAACAACATTGGAACTTCGGGAGAATATCAGTAGCCGACAAAATTCCATGATGTGGCGATTTATGTAAAAGTGTACAATACATAAGTATCCTTGATAAGGGGAGGTCCACGGTGGCAACGCCGGCCCATGTAGGACAATGGCATGTGGAGCTCAGAGGAAAAGATGGAGTACAATTGCACCGTTGGATAAATTCGTGAACGCCCTGATACATGTCGGCGAGGAGGTTGAGAATACATCCTGTGAATCGACCCTATTTACATTATGTAACCAAAGTTCTGACCCTAACCTTAGCCTATCACTTCTCCTTGCACCAAACCAAACTAGGCATGACCTCAGGCCCTCATAAGCCAGGCCCCAAATCAACATTAACATCAAAACTTAACTATCTGCGGCCTCGTGCATTTGGTTAATTTTGGTACCACAATCACCGTTACCGCTGCCAGCCGACAACTGATCCTCCATTAATTACAAGTTCTTCAGCCTAACTTGCACAGTCCAATAATGGCACAATCTTCGATCATCCCCATTCTCATCAAGGCTACCGGCTTATCTCCTTTCAAAATTGTATGCACATCTAAGTAGCTAGTACACACTCGGCACCTTCCAAGGTCCTGACATGCTTACCATCACATAGTACCTAATATCGTGTGACCATTTCTGTCCGATAACTGCTAGTCTGAATCTCGCATGGCTTCCGTACTTGACCGAGGGGCACCTTCGGTCATTTACGTTCTTCTTGTCCTGCACACGAAGGTTTCATTCAAGCTATTATGGCCTAGCACTACACCTAGGGTCGGTTAGTCGTTTTGCTGTTCAAATTATGTTCAAGTTGGATCATGTCCGAATCACGGCTTCGTGGTACGTTATTATTTTTGAACGGATCGACAGATCATTGCTACAACCCTAACTCCGTAGCAGTACACCGTCAAGACCGGGGCGCTAAGTAGCCGTTTTGCGGTGCGAATTATTCTGAATGGTAATAGTTTAAGGCTATCTACTGCTGCAATATAAAAGCTGCAAGAGCATCATAATATCATCCTGCTTCTCCCTACTCTCGCCAAGGGCAGCCTCACTATCCATCGTGAAAAATCGCGATGTTTATTCCTTTTTTGCTTGTTTCTCTCATCTCATCGATCGATGTGACAGCTATAGCTGTGTCTCGCTCAGAGTACCCACTATCTCAGGGCGTTGCACATGGTCCCTCAACTAGATTGACCATAGGCAATACAGTCCTCGCTCCCGATGGCTTCGTCCGCCCGTAAGTCTATTATCGTAGCACTCAAGCTCATTCCTGATCTTTGACAGAGCAACTGTTGTCAATGGCATGTTTCCTGGACCCATGATTGCAGCTCAGAAGGTAATCTTTTTAATATCCTTGTTGGGTGCCAGTGCTGACCTCACAATAGGGTGATCTGTTTAATATTGAGGTGGTCAACCAACTCAGCGACGAATCGATGTTCACGCTTACCAGTGTTGTAAGCAGTTTCAAATCATCATAAATGTTGTTAAAATTAATCTTGTTTATGGTAGCACTGGCATGGCATCTCCCAGAATCGATCGAACTATGCCGATGGGACGGCCTTCGTCACACAATGCCCCATTACGCAGAACCACTCTTTTCTACATACTTTCACCGCCCAAAACCAGACGGGCACTTTTTGGTATCATAGTCATTATTCTTCTCAATATGCAAGTATCACTCGAACCTTGCATTTGCAGTGAAGGACTAACCTATGGAACAGTGCGATGGTTTGAGGGGAGCCCTGATCATCTATGACCCTGACGACCCTTTGGCATCCATGTACGATGTCGACGATGGTGAGCGAGAAATTGGTTCATATGAGCTTTCTGACTGACCATCGTATGTTTTCAGCAACTACTGTGATCTCACTTTCAGACTGGTGAGTTTCACAAACGTGGTCAATCTGCTCGATTAGCTCAGGATCACTAGGTATCATGTTGTATCCCCCAAATTGCTCGGTGTTCCATCTATTGCCGATTCTATGCTCATCAATGGACTCGGTCGCTTTGTTGGCGGACCCCCGTCTGATCTTGCAGTGATCAATGTGACGCCGGGAAAGCGATATCGCCTGCGCCTGATTCAAATGTCATGCCAATCCGACGTCAAATTTTCCATCGATGGTCACAGCTTGACTGTCATCGAAGCGGATGGACAGTTGACAGAACCTCTGGTGGTAGACCAACTCCAGATCCTTGCGGGCCAGCGCTACTCTGTGGTTCTACAAGCCAATCAGCCGGTGAAAAACTACTGGGTACGCGGTCTTCCTAATACGCCGGGTGCAAACTACATCGGAGGAGTGAACTCTGCTATCCTACGCTACCAAGGCGCCCCAGCGGTCAACCCGATTACGATCGCTCTTCCACCCAAGAACCAATTGCAAGAGACCAACTTGCATGCTCTGCCAGTGGACGGTTCCGGTGTTCCTGGTATTCCAGGGTACGGGAACGCAGATATCAACCTCGACCTGGAGGTTAGCGTCAAAGCCCCAGACTTCCAATTCTATATCAACGGTATCACATTCGGAAACACCACTCTTGGAAACCACACTGTTCCTGTTCTACTCCAAATTCTTAGTGGAGCTCGACAAGCTACTGAGCTGCTCCCAGCCGGAAGTGTGTACGTTCTGGAAGCCAACAAAGTGGTAGAGGTGACAGTGGGAATGCAAAGCGCTATAGGTGGACCTGTACGTCTTTTCCATTCATTCCATATTTACGTGACTGATGCATATTTATATTGTACCAGCATCCCATACATCTTCACGGAGTAAGTTCGCCGTCATTCCGAAGGCATTTCTGACTGGTGCTCCTGATTATTAGCATGCATTTGATGTAGTACAGAGCGCTGGCAGCAGTACTTTCAATTATGTGAACCCCGTTCGCCGCGATGTGGTCAGCGCTGGGCACCCTGGGCAAAGAACGGTGATCCGATTCGTCACTGACAACTCTGGCCCCTGGTTCTTGCATTGGTATGACACCTTTTTATCGAGCTGTCAAGAAAGATACTAACTCTGAACCAACAGTCACATCGACTGGCACCTTGCAGCGTAAGTGTATAAATCTTCCCGTGAACGAAATAGCTAATCCTTCATATTCAGCGGTTTTGGCGTGGTTTTCGCAGAAAGTCCCGCGGATACCCCCGCATATGTGGACCCCGTGCCAGGTAGGTCATACGTTAGGAATCCATTCTTCTATTGCTGAATTGCTTTACAGCTGAGTGGGACCGCTTGTGCCCAATCTATGACAATCAGCCGAATTTCACGCTACCTCACATCCCTAACATTCAGATTTGATCATGCCCTTCAGCCACAAGGGACCGGCGTTGCCGTCGTGAACCTTGCTTAGCCCTCCTGTTGTCTGCTGTGACCAAGCCAACAGGGCTAAATGTAAATTTCATTGTACATTTTCAAATCTTGATGCACATGGCCGATATGTGGAGTCCTGATCTCTAGCCATATTTCTTGTATTTGTATTCCTTTGGCTGCATTCTCTCTTCCAATGCGTTTACGTTTATATTCCCCAATACCCACTTTATATAGAAGGGGTGGAAAATGATTGTCATGACCGTCTGTTATTTGATGCGTGGAAAATGTTCTCCGGTTGCCGATCATCACGACCGCCGACTCTATGATATGGTCCTTGTCTTCTGCCATGTCTTGAGTATACAGCACGAAATACCATGCTGCCTGTAATGTCGCGTCTTCCACACAGCTGACTACTCTTCGGAACTTGACCGTCGAAAATGGATTAGTACAAAATGCACTGCCTGAACTCTTTTCCCTGAAGGTTCTCTTCCATGGCAAAGGTTAGCAAAGCTGATCAGTTCGGTTCTCTATTCATCTTTGTTGTTCGCAACTGACACCCAAAGCTCACAGCCTTGTTGTGACCCTGCAAGCCTGCTCCGTTTCTAACTTCGATAATGCAATTCTTCCTATTCTGTTCGGCCCCGGGTTACATGTCGGCAAAGTGAGTCGTGTAAGATCCCAATCACCACTCACCAAGTATATTTTCTTGTCATCTATAAGGAATAGCTTATTACTTGTTATCTGGACCCTGCACGTTGCCTGCTCTGCGCTCACTACCGTTCTCGACAACTCCGGGTCTACAAAGTTCCCTCCTTCCTCCACATTTCCCTCGGGTTTCTAAATTCGTCTGTCTAGGAAAATTGGCTTTGACAGCATGGCTGGGAGCGAATACTGTGTCTAGTCTATTTCCGTTGTCCGTATCATGGTATCTATCCTGTACAATGGTCCCGGCTTGCGCCAGGACGCCTTCTTCAGCCTCTTGATATGGTGACATGTTCCGTTGCGCTTCCTCTACTTCTTTTAGAACTGGTCTAATCTCTTTCTCTTCGCTTGACAGGTACTTGGTGTTGCACTGTCCTGGGCCGACCTCTCTACGCATCACCTCTCTCTGATTGACAAAGGCCGGGCATACGAGAAGAAACCCGACTAGATGTGTATCCTACTGTCGAACTTGATCGTCGCACTCCATGCCGTGCAAATCTTGCTTCCGAAATCAGTAGCATCGAACCACACTGAGTAAGTTCTGGAATTCAGTTCCCCGCGGTTTCGTGAGCGCTAGCTACTAATGGTGTCATGCCGTGGTTAATGCAAATCGGATGATTGACCACTTGATCCTCGTGCGATCGCAAGCACATCTCCTCTCTCAATGTTCGCTCCAGCAACACGCGTATCATTATATATCATATTAGTCTACAGTAGCCTACGGTAGAAATACACATGAGTCGTACGGCTACATTCGAACATGAACTAATCGTGCAACCGCATAAAGTGCCTCGGGCACGAATTTTGGGCAAAATCTGTGGCGTCGTTAGTTTCACTACTAGGAGGTATTATTGCACCGAAGTTATCGTTTGGGTCACACGAATAGCATCCTTCGCGCCACCGTTGACCCTGCGGGCAATGAGCAAATTCAGCGTGTAATCACATTTCCAACGGAGGGTGACGGCTTGCTCTTTGATGAAGACATGAAATAAGACACAATCAGCTATATGTGAAGCTGTATGAGGTAGCAAAACGCGATGTCTTTGACATATCACAGTTGTGATTGCAATGGCGATATATCTACAATGTGCGGCAATTAACGGGAGAGCCATGTTTCGGAAGAGAGCGCCCTGATACCAGTGAGTAAGTATCGTTAGTTGAGATAACAAGCACTTATGCGGGTGACTTCCTGTAGGCTAGATAATCCGGATTATCGTCATGAAGACAGAAATCTATTCGGTAGAGGCACCTGATTTGTGTCGACGTGAGTCAATTGAACGCTCAGAACCAGAACCTGAGTAGGAGCCGAGCAGGACACCATGATAAACTTGACACAAACACATGTTGGAACTTCGGGAGAATGCAGCCGACAGAACACATTTGCCGATTTGAAAGTGTAGAATATCATCCCTGCTGATTTGCAATAGGCTGTTACATACCTGAAGGCCTCATGTTCGACGGAACCGATCAAAGCTGAGCTCCAAGTGGGAACAGGGCACGGGATGCTCCCTGATAGTGCCATAGCGAATCGGCGAAGGTATGTTACCTTTGTGCGGTGACTAGTCACTAGCACGTTTTCCGCACAAATGCCTCTAGTGTGTTGTTACTTCAGCACGAGTTTTCAAATTTAGCTCTGGTAACATCCTAATTAGGGTGGACCCAATTGGGAGGTAAAAGTCCCGGTCGAGGCTAAATTTTGAAAAACCGGCTGTAAGAGTCTAATAGCCGAGACCCGGAAATATACAATCGCGGAAGACCCGTTATGAAATGCGCTACTAGCAACCCCACTGGGGAAGTTGTCAAAGTTATTGACTCATCCGATAACAGGACAAATAGTTTTTACAGGGTTTTTATGTAACACACTGTATACTGATGCAGAGGCATTTGTGCGAAATGATGAACCCTCATCGACATCTCCGGCATGAAAAAACTCTAGGAGTCACTCCTTCATGTCACTAAGAGTTGGACGCAAATACTTTGCTGTACTTCGTGGCACGGCCTTCCTTTTTTTTAAAAAAAGTTCGGAGTCTCATGCACGTATTCAGTTGATTCGAGCAGCGGGGGCATCCGGCTGATCACCTCTGAAGTGGTAACCTGATCTGTACACCGTGGATCCTAGAAGGTAGGGAATGAAGCTTCGCCGCAAACAGGATACATGAAGCCCTTGCCTATAGACTTCTTCACGACCAATTTGGCGGGCACGGCTCACCGCTGCGAGAAGTGAGAGAGATCCATGAATGGCCAAACACATCTGTCCTTACCTGCATTGTGAAAGGATTCGTCTCGACCGGGAACGTTGACGATGAGCAGTGTCAAAGCTACTCAACAAAACCTCCAGAGTCTATTATAGACTTGACCTTAGACTTTCCTCGATTCACACAGATGCTTAGATAGCCTTGAAGTGCCAATCCGTTCAAGAATGATAACGTACCACAAAACCGTGATCTGGACATGATCCAAAATAAATGGAACGGAGAAACGGCCAAGTTACTGGCCCCAGGTCACAGGCGTAGTTGCTAGGCCACAATTGGCTTGAATCAAATCTGTGGAAAAAGAGAAGAATAACAATCACTAATGATGCCTTCTCCGTACTATTAGTAAGTAGTACAGATTTAGGCTGTGCCAGCATTGAATCATGCAGGGACTCGTGACCAGGGTCCATTGATTACTTAATGATTTGTAAGTTGGACTAGTTTCGGGTCGCTTCACGTTTGATACCGAGGAAGCAATTCGCGTCCACCTGAGTTTCAAGCTCCCCGAATTGCTATGTTCAAATGGCATTCTCCTATTTGCGTGTTTTTTTTGGTTATCTCCGTGTCTTCTGCATGTGCGATTGTACGTCCTAACTATACTAGGCCGGCATTGCCGCTATCCGGGACCTCGCTCAGCGCTCAGCCTCCGACTTATTGTTTTCGCGACCAAATCAACAGGTTTGTTTTCGAAGCGACACATTTTCCTAGATTCGACAGCATACAATATCCTGCATGGCTCCCTGGCACAGGACAGCCGCTTTCATGTGGTCAACGCTTGCTTTTCTTCTTTGTTTTGCTTTCGCGTTTGCTGCTGATCCCGGGCCAGAACATGCCATAAGCTACTTCGACAATGCACCAACTCGGTTGTTCTTTTTCGACGATACGACTGTGAGGCATTCATATCTCCCTCGGAGTTCACTCAATAATAATTCACTTGATCCTCTAGAGTGTGATATACCATGATGCCATCTTCGGGGAAATACATGTTTCTCATGATGAAGGCAAGACCTGGAAACGTGCAGATGACATACCACCTGGCGAGGCTGCAATGTTCATTGAGCATCCATTCAACAATCGCGTGGTGCGTTACTGTTCATATCTCTGCCTTGAACACACTGACGTAGATCTGACTGAATTCTATCTAGGCATTCGTATTAACAAATTCCTACACACATTACCGCACAGACAACCGCGGAAAGTCATGGCGCACGTTCAACGTCCCTGAGCTACTAGCCTATGTCGGATCACCACTCTCATTCCACTCAGATCCCAAAAAGTGGGAGTATACCCTCTTCCAGGCAACCAAATGTGACACAGTTTCCTCGGGAGAACAATGTCGAGATGTGGTACGTCCTTATTCATATTAATGAACATGTATTACTTGCATCTAAATTTTTATGTAGACATACTACACCAAAGATGGATTTGCCTCATCACCACAACTACTCCTAGATGACGTCTCCCGTTGTCAATTTGCTCACAGTACTAAGGACTTCAAACATGACGCTCACGAAGACCTCATCTACTGTGTCGCCTATGACTCTTCTGCTACGATCGGCTCGCACAATATTGCAAGCAGTCGTCTGTACTCTAGCACAGACTTTTTTGCCACCAAGCAGAACGAAGATCTTGGCATTGGCAAGAATGCCAAGGGTGTCGTGGTGTTTGCGATCGTGTCCAAGTTTGCTGTGGTTGTGCTCAAGGACTTGACGCCCGGCAGCGAGGGTGACATGCTATTCTATGTTACTGTGAACACCAAGGAATGGGCCAAGGCGCATTTCCCGCATACCTCCCAGGCGCGCTTGCGGGAGAACGCATATACCATCGTCGAATCTACAGTCCATTCTCTAGCAGTAGATATCGTCTTGCAAGACTTGACCACTGTCGGTACTCTGTTTGTCAGCAACTCTAACGGCACCTATTTTGTGGAGAGCTTGACGGACACGAATAGGAACGTAGCGGGGTACGTTGACTATGATACCATATATGGTGTCGATGGTGTTGGTATTGCCAATGTCATTGCTAATGCGCAAGACGTTGAGAGGAAGATGGCAGCCAAGCAATTACGGTCGGTCATCACATTTAATGATGGTGAGGAATGATGTTTCTTGTTTTATTTTGAAGTGACCTTACGTCTTCCCAGGCAGCTCATGGGATCCTCTTGTCGCTCCTCGCGGGACCTGCTCCTCCGAACCATGTTCCCTGCACTTGCACTCGGTAACAGACTTGCACGACTATGGCCCTGTTTTCTCGTCCCCCGCCCCT